ATTTTATATTTCTCAGGAAACACTAATTAAGATAGGATAACAGTTGAATCACAAGTTAGAATAAAATAAAAATTACAAACCAAATTACCACAATTTTCTGAGGTATACTTATATAATTATGCATTAAATACCCGGATTAAATTGTAATACATCGTAAAACGGGTGGTAATCCCGATCTATTACCATTTTCAGTTCCTGTAAATGTTTAAACTTGCCCTCAGTAATTTTTAATGGAGATCTGTACAATCGGTTTGGAGATACCAGACAGTTTCTTTGATTATTTCTTCGCTGCGGAAGTACAGACCACTTATCGACATGTCTTAACCTATAAAATATTGAGCCATTGGATAAATATTTAAGACCTCTATTGTCCACCACGACGGGACCTCCCTTTTTTGCCAGGCTGTATGGATTTTAGGTTCGATTCCATCTCTTCAAAATTTAGAAAAAAATCATGGTGAATGAATTTGACATCATACGGGTTTTGTGGTCGAGCTTGTCTTATCTGGGTGATGTAATCACTAGGAGTGAAAATTTGTGGTTTTATGTATTGCTCAATAGTGGAGTGAACACTATCCACTTCCATCATACTATGCCCCTTTTCCAGGTAAAGTTGTTCGATACAAATTTTCCTTCTTTGCGCCAAATCGCTTAGGGCACTTGACAAAATTCGGTTCAGGTTTTGGTGTCCGCATCCATCAGAAATAATGATAACGCGCTCTGTTGAAAGTGGCAGGTTTTGAGAGTAATCTATTAAACAAGATGTGAATGCATTAGCAGTAACATTACCATCTGCTTCGTGCCAAAAGTAAATTGTCACGTTTTTGGATAGCACGTCATAAACCGTAAAGTTATGGCATTGTAAATTTTATTTGTAGTATAATTCACTATCCAATAGCTTTGGGGCAAGGAAAACACTTTGAACGTCGCCTGTTATAACCACAGCCTTTTCGTTTGCACTAGCTACGGCATTCTTGTTGACTTCACGGGCTTCAATTTTTTTCACAATATGGCTAATAATATCATATTCTTCTTTGGAAATGTTACCACTTTTATAAATACAGCAAGTGTGGCACTGGTCTTTGTGAGGGTGGTGAATGCCGATATTTTCTTTAGTTATTACCTTCGAAAATGTCTTTTTAGAGGCAGCTCTGTAATGGTTTTCAATACACCACTCCTTAAAAACCTGATACATGTGGAGTTCAGATCAAAAAGTCCATTCAACATAATTTTTTTGAGCTAGCCCGACAGTAATATAATATATAATAATAAATCCTTTATTTCGACCAACAATAGTCAATGGCTCGGCACTTTTGGTAAAATATCCTGCCATGTTTTAACAGTTCTTGTCAATTCAACGTTCTTTCCTGGCCTAACAATAATATTTGAACTTGATACAGTGTTTTCTGCAGATTGTTCCTCTATATTTTCTTCGAAAGTATCAACCTCTCTAGTCCAGCGATGAAAACTGTCTTTCCCAATGCAAAGAGTATTAAGAAAAAATAATTTACACACTCTCACTCTTGTGCATTTTGCGTCCAATTTATTGATGAAGATATCGTGGCCACTTTGTTTTTTGCTTATAAACCTCTGTTGAGATTTACGTCGTCGTCTTATACACCTTCTCACTGCTGATGCTTTTATAAACGTCATCTTCTCAAGCCAAGTCTTGAGCTTCCAAAAATATTTATGAATTTTTTCAGGTTCTTCATTGGATACAAGAGCACAAAGAAAATAATTTTTAGATTTAGGAACTACACACGTGTGTAAGCAACATGGTTTCAAAATTCTTTCAGGATTCTTAACGCACGCTGTCCATTTGTCAGCTAACTTTTTATACCCAAGGTACGATTTACCGGCTACCCGGGCTTCTTTATTCAGTTTAACGGTGCACGGAAGTGGTCTTTGTACAGAAACAGAGGTATTTTCATCAATATTCTCGGGAAATGATACCCCACTAACACTGTCATCACCATCACTATCAGCATTATAACTATCCAGAGAAGGCAAGGTCCTCCATGTTCTTAAAAATAAGTTTCTGTTTCTTCGTAAATCTTGCACAGACAACGACCTGATATTTTCATTGATATCCAAATGTTCTTCAACCTGGCTCCACAATAGACAAAGAATCCGCCTCCACCGTGAAACACGACACAATCTGGATCATCACCACTGTTATTGCTCAAATTTTCAAAGATAGGTGTTGGTGATAGCACTTGCTTCGATTCAGACGCAATACCCGGTTCTTCAATGGCATAGAGTATGCTGATGCTAGAATGAAGCATTCGTAAGGTCATCTTCAGACGCAATACGCTTCCGTAACGTCATCTTGATTATTTAATCCTGAAGATATTAAGGCCAAGTCTTCTGGCGTAATAAGGGAACTGCTAGAACAGGTTTTCACCTTAGGAGGTTCCTCAAAATCATAAAAAAATACTTGATTCAGAGTAACCTGTATTTTGCTGATTAACTAATAACTCAATCTCACTTGGACAGAGCGTTTTACTCATTTTTTATGGTGTTACACTCACAAATCGAATAAACTTTCGTTTTACGCAACGCGGACGAAGTAACGATCTGCAACGCACTGACAAAATACATTAAAACCTATTTTGAGCGACATCTATCATCTACGATTGGAGAATAATCACACGATTTATCTGTCTCGCTTGTCTCCGTGATATGTGTGCTCTAAAGTCACATAGGTAAAGAATTTTAAAACTACCCGCCATTCTCGTCGTGCATAATAATGCACATAAGATATTTTGATCTAATAATTGCCTAAAGGTCCCGAGTATGACATATAACTAAAAACTCGTATGTGTAGAGTTACACATAAGATATTTTAATCACCAACTTTTAATTGGGAAGCACATTATTGATCTTGAAATTGGTAAATAAATGATGATTGAATAGTCGTATACACATGAGAGTTTTTCCATTCGATAGAGCTTCAAAATGTGAAAAATACTGGCGTAAAAAAGTGATTTTGCCTAAAGTGACACATAAGAGGTCTTAAAGTCGCAACGACGATTTGTAGGAGTAAAATGTACCTGTTATTTGCAGAAAAAATATTGATATTATATTTCCTAACAAAAACATATATTATTTTGGTGTAGTGCGGGCCGAAAGAGTATTCACTACCCCATGTCATTCGTGAGGGTGGTAAAAGATAATCTTGGGAAATGCCGAAGAACTATGACTTGCCAAAGTTCCGACGATGGATCGCTAAATCGTTGTTGAACGTGATGATTATAGTGAGCCCTTCCTCTCCAGAACTAGACAGTTTATATACTGATTATGTAGAAGAGATAATAAATTACAACCATATATCATAAGGAAAGGAAAACGACCAAGATTCGTTAAATAGATGTGACTAACAGCTCCAAGCAAATTTCACTTTAGTATCACAATATGCGGATCTAACTCTTTATCTGGGTCAAGAACGTGAACATTAAAAATTATCGTAAATATTTATAATTAAATAAAAGAGGGGAATGAAAAAAAGGTTTCGAAAAAAAGCCTTTGTATGTTGCAGTTAAAAAAGGTAAAATAAAGTGAACATACATTATTTTCCATACAAAAAGCTTTAATCAATTAGTCTGAATTTCATGGCTGCAAATTATCAAGATAATAATGTTCATTCAAAATTATCGGATAATTATCCGGTTATCATCCAGCAATACAATGTGTTACAAAAGTTATTTTTGTTTGATACAATAAACTAACAAATTGTTTGTCATATTGCCAAAAACTGACCCACAATATTACCCGTGTTCGGACACACGCCATAGATTACGTACAATATTATACGCAGGAATAAACGTTATTATCATAGATTTGTCATAGATATTTATCTTGATAATCATTAAGATAATTATCCCGTGCAACCCTGCTAAATTCATATTAAAAATCAACCGTTAATACTTTCGAGTTTACAGTTCATTCAAACAATTCACTCGAGACACAAGTTCCTAAAAAAACATATCGCACAATAAAGAAATGACAGGCGGCACGTCACTACTAGAGACGTAATGTGCCCCTGGATTGATCGATACCCTGCCTCACGCCGCTGCACTCATAAAAACATTCCGCGTGCGATCCCGCGTCGATGTCAGCTGACGACACATCAACCTAACGACTGAACAATAATAAACGTGCCTCCACCAATCCGTTCCACGAATCACGACACGGCAAAACGTATCTTGTTGACAATACTATAAGACTCATAGAGTAGTATAATTAACTTTGCTTGAGTTAAGAGTTAACATTATTACTATGCGAACTCAGTGCTATATTGTAACATTTATCGATATCGATAAGATTTTTTGTAGAACATTTTTTTTTATAAAAATCATTCTAAAATCACATTATATCATAAAAGATTATTGTAATTTGAGCTATATTGATTTATCGTATAACTATACTATCGTTAAATGGATTCTAAATATAATAGCTTTTATTATAAACAAGACAATACTAGCTTGACCGGCAGACGTTATTTTGACCATCTAAGTAGGTGACGCGCTGAGTTTCACTTCAAATGCATTCTGGATATTTACTGTGTAAGGTCATTTCGGTTCATAACTTTGGATTTGTTAATTACTTCACTACAGCGTCACCTAACAAATCTTAACATCCGTCGTCTCGACAAACAAATATATTGTATAAGTTTGACCTCAATAGAAGACCTCGAAGTTACACGATCATTAACAGACGCACCAACGATTTTATAGATATAATATATGACTACATCAAGGAAAACTGCTTTACTATAGACGCGAGGCACATGTCAAACTAGTTTTAAAACCAACTGCGAAAAATAATAATGTTTGTTGCGTCGAAATAATTTCATATATGCACATCAAATGGAACGTGAAATTTATCGACATTGTGTGCTACAGCACTAGCGACCCGCTCGGTCGGTCGAAGCTGGTCGGCCCCTCCGCGCGTCAGTCTACCTCAAACCGCGGCGTACAACGTTTTGCTTTCGAAATACGATGAGGATCGCAGCGCTTTTTGCGCTGTTGGTCGTCGCACTCGCCGACGACTTGTGCCCGGTCGACGAAGTAAGAAACAAGTTCTACAGCCTTGAAGTTACTCTTTGGAAGAACGTTTCGAATCCCAATTGGGGAGAGTTCGGCCTCGGAGGGGATGTCGAATTAACGAAATCCTTTGCAATCCTAAACGAGTACATAGAAGCGGTACCGCGACCGCCACGGCCACCGCTCGAGACTTGGCTGTGGGTGAAAGCGACCGAGAAGTTGCAGGTTATAGATGGCTTGTACAAGAGTTTTGTGGAATTCGTCAGGCGGCAAGCCACGCCAGGCGCGGTGCCAGCGCCAGTGCGTGAATGGTTGGACTTGGCTGAAAGTGTTTTAATGGATCCCAAGGCGTCAGTGGCGCAGGCAGTGAGGAAGCTGCACGATCTGACAGAGCACGGCGATATGTTCCGAGCTGTGTTAAAGGTACAAAGAAAGTCTAGTTCTAAGTGGTGTAATAACACTTGAGTGCGTTTAAACCAAAACTATATTGATGACTTATTGTTTATTTTGTCTGTGACAACATTTGAGCAGTTTGTCAACAATTCAGAAATATTTTGTCGCACCGTTGACGCTTCAATTCGGGCCGCGCTCGGTGACGTAGAGTAGTTTCGCAATTACGACCTCAATAATTACTCTAATTAATCGTAATTACTGCTGGTAATGATAAATTCTCCGAATCGTAATGAACTACTTCGTTTCGTACTTCGGATTTTTTGTAAGAAATACTTTCTTTAAACTTTAAAGTAATAGTATAGTATCTCTGTAGCTTCATAAAATTAATGATCAAAGGCAAAAGAACATCCGCCGTTCAAATATAACATGATATTATACAAATAGTATGATGCCCTTATATATAATAATAACGTGATATACAAATGCAGTATGACTTACAAGTGCTAGGCTCTGAAACAAAATCTATATTAGGTATTGAAGAGACAATTCTCGTTGTTAGCGGCATTTATTCCCTGTGTACATTTGCGTGCTCAAGTTTAATTCTCTTTTACGGTAAAACTCGAGTAAAATGATTTCTTCTGCGTATAATAAATGCAAACATGTACACATTTAAAACTTATAACTAAAAAACTAGTAACAAAGTCCGTTTAAATAACAAAGAAAAGTGTACGAACGATTTCCAGTTTATAATCAACAAAGAGATACTGCGAGAATTCTTTAACCTCGCCATAAAGTATTGCCTACAGAGTAACCACGCAAATGATTACATTACGCATCTGTTTAGATTGATACAGACTTAATAATTGTTGTTATGGAACGATTTCTCTGAATCACGACGGAACCGGAGTCCCTGTGGTAAACAAATAGACACTACCGTTATCGCGTGACAAAGGCCGCACGTGTGCGGATGAGATGTGAGTGGGATATAGCTCCCGTTCCGTTCACGTTCACTAACGATTTTGATTTCACATGCTGTATGCAAAGTGAACGAGGTATGAATCAAGGATTTCTAGCCTTTTGGTAAATTTTGAAATAACAACCGGATATAAATATTTTGTAATGTACGAGTGTATCCAAATTTTCCTTTCCACAGAATGGATAATACTACTACTGCTAATAGTTACAATGACTAAAATAAAATAAAACATCATTTTTGCAGACCAATATGCTCTTTTTCAAACGTTACCCCCACAATAGAATTTCCTGCCGTATCATAGTAGTAATGAATAATAACGATTAAAATTATGAGATACTAAGTAAAATATAATCTTTTTTTTTTAATTCGTTGATCATTACAATTTTTGGATATATTTTTGTTTAAAGACGAAAAAAGAGCAAATTTGTATTTTCTTTAATAATATAATACATTTGTGTTTATATTGTATTTTATATGAAAGCGAATGCGAATATTACGCATTGCAAACAATGTTATTCTGTTGTTGTGTGTTGGCGATGTAAGAATATTCACTACACCATTTAGACCCTTGGGTGTGAAACAAAGAAGAAGATCGACAGCAGCGTCTTCTGTCGATCTCCTTCTTTGTTTCACAGGCAATCTATGGGGTAAAGATATGTCTAACAGTAGACTTATCAAAAGTCTATAACGATAACGATAACAATTTTGTTTATTATTTTAATAATATACGGCATACTTCAGACAGCATATTCACAGCAGGCATAACGTACGCTACCTAACTTTAGACAAATTCCGCAAAAAAAAAAAGTTTATCTCATTTTTATACATACCCGTTACAGTTACAGGCTATCAGAAGTCCATATATCCGGCGGGCAAGTCTACCGCCGCAGTTTTTTTATTATTTTGAATTGTTATCAGGAATGTGCTGCTGCCTAGCCCATTACGACACCCACGGACCATATGGGATAGTAGATAATCTTACACCACGCCACTTCACGGTCGATTATTAATATATAAAATGGGTGTGACTTCCAGGAGGAGAACCCGGACCTGTGCGAGCTGCAGCTGTCCCCACACCAGCTAATTTATGATATGTATAACACTATATCTCTCACGGAGATAAAAGGATACGCCATGATGCAGTTCTCCTGGATGTTACTGAGGATCTACGGAAAAGGTAATCACGCAATGCAGACATTCTACACAGTTATTGGCAATGTTGTACTCGTGAGAATCCACGCGTGTTTACTCAGCGTTAGATAAACCAAACGTCAAAACATCTGCACTATTGCAACTACAAGCTAGTAAGAGGACTAAAATGTGAGCAAATTCCTGTAGAATCTGTTCAACGCCATAGTTACAATTTAAAATAACCATGTATTTTTATTACCAGTATTCTATCACTTTCAAAGTTAATGTACGATGCAAGTATCATCAACAGATTTGGCATAAACGTAATGCATCGCAGACTGACAATCGTCTTAGAAACTTATAGATGTCGGCACAGCCTATTACCGGTCTGGTAATTTCAGACAATGCAATGTTTATACTGCTAGAATTTACTGGATAAAACAAAACTTCTATTTTGATGGTAAACATAAATAAATCGTAAACAAAAAAGCTAACAAATGTTTACTGTAAAAAAACAAAGGAAGGTAACTAGCTGACTCAGTCAAAATGTTCAACATAACAATAGTGTGACATGAACATGATCTGAAAAAATATATACAGTTGCATCACATCTCTTTGTATTTGCTTCTTGGAAACGAGTTGTGTTTACATTTTTTTGGTTGATAATAACGCGTCAGATACATTAGAGCTAATGCTGTCATTGCTCAGTAATATACAAAAATAACGCGATTAGCAAAAAAAACACAGTAAATAAGTAGCTTTTCATATGGTAGTGGCAAGAATTATACCTTTTTTACTAGGAGGATTTTGATTCTTAATCGAGGATAAATGTCTGTGGGCCACAGCATCCTCTTCCTATCAAATAGATTGTGTGGACGTTTGCCATCCTTACATGTATAAAAAAAAACCTGTGTCTCAGTAGTCAATATGCGTCATGAATTATTTTAACACCCGAAACTCCACCTATTATAGTCGGGTGCATGTCTCTAATAATACATACAAGAACAGCACACAGCCCACCTGATGGTTAGTGGATGATGTGGCCCATAGACATCTACATTTATTCTCGATTAAGAATAAAAATGTGACACGCCTGAGGACCAAGATGGAACGCCTTGTTGCCAGTAAAAAGGGTCTCCGGTTCTTTACACTCATCATGCGAAATACGGCAGCATTAAGCTGCTAATTCACATTGGTATTCTGTGAGTGTTTTCCTACCCTGGTCGAACCGACCCACTCGTGCTACAACCATAATATAGCTGCCACGTATAACGAGTATCTCTAGAGGAGTGAGTATTAATTATTAACGTATAAATTGCAACATAAAGGTCGTTCGTAGTGTACGTTATCACAAGACCCGCGCACAAAACCGCAGAGAGAACCTTAATCGCCGCAGATAAAACTATTGCGCTGCATGCTAAATGCTTAAACATACTATTTCTGAACCTAATAATAAAAAAGCAAAACTAGAATCAAAGAATAATAAAAAAAAAATTAATCTGTATAAGCCAACGGATTAAAAAAGCTGAAATGGTAGTGTGCTGGCCATATAGCTCATAACCGAAAACCGATTGGAAAGAAAGGTTCTTGAGTGGCAGTCTGATACCGGTAAGCGAAGAGTGGGGCGGTCGCCTAGTAGATAAATTGCGGCCGCCTAATGGATGAATTAAGCTGATGATTAAATAACCATGCAGGAAGTCGATCGATGCCGGTGATTCTAAACTGTGTTTCGTGGATATTTCATGCAGGTGGCCTATATTCTGGAGTAGACTTGTGAAGGGCTGTAATGATGATGATGATAAATAATAAAACCATATTTAAAATTAGGGATTTTTTTTCATAGAAACGTATTAGCCGTCGTAATGAAAATGATCTAGTCGTAATTAATTATAAGTTAAGAGAAAACGGACGTACGTACAATGAGAACCGTAAAATCCTACATAGGAGCTAGTGTAACAGTCACAAATAAACTGAGAGTGCGACACAATACAGAAAACCAGATTCTCTTGTTAGTGTAGTTTAGTATAGTGAGCGAGGACAATCGATACACAAAGATATTCTTTGAATTTTGATATGAAACACTTTTAGTTCTAAAATATCGAAATACCGAGGCGTGAAGCTTTTCTTTCTTGTGTAATTATTTATAAAGGCAGAAAACGTTATATAAAACGATGCTTAGCGCGTGTTTGAACAAGCGTAAATTGTTGTAGTGATTATTAAATTGTTTTTTTTAAAATATGAAATAACTATGACAGCAGGACGTCAAACACCTCAGTCCCCCGTGACCACGGGTGCTGGAAAGCACACGAAACGTCGGGAATATAAAAATAAGTTAATATACGCGATAAAATCCGTAAATTTAGTTTTATTAAAAAAAAAAATGTTAAGTAAGAGTTATTTTTTTAGAATATCTGCAATTTTTTAGTCACAATATTTAACACATTCGAAGTTTGATATTTCCACAACGAAGCTTGTTTGTTTAAATTGGTTCACGGAACCTCATAACTATTATGAATGCAATTATATCATATCTAATGAAAACTCGCTCGATGTTTGCGGAAATTGCACCTACTATAAATATAGGAAAATTACATTTTAACATCTTAATATTATTTTATTATAAATATATACTCTTTAGCCAGAGATTATACACCAAAATATTAATACATTTCGATCAAAAGTTGTGGAAATTATGCTGTGACACTAACAATGTTAGAACGAAACAATAAGTGACGAACAAAATATGTAGTAAGCCTCAAAAATAACATAACTATAGCTTCTGTTACATTAGGTTCGCACTTCTATATGGTAATTATAACCGAACATGCAAGGAAAAGGTTCAACTACCCCGATAAAACCCTAAAAAATAATAAATAGAATAATTATTTTTTCTTCTTCTTCTTCTAATTATGAGATCTGATGTTAAATTTCAGGCAACTTCACCCAAGAAGCAAGTTTAACACGTCAGAGGTACGGAGAGAGATCGGCGCGGACAGCCAGCGCGGCGAAGGCTGCCTTGGCGATGGCCAGACGTGACCTGTACCGCTGCGACCCACCGATACATAAAGAAGGTGAGAACCATAAACATAATGCATTATCATTGCTGCTAAGACGTTCTTTACATGTCGATCGTAAAAATTCAGTGAGCAAATATTAAGCTAATAACTTTTTTTTTACGTGGCAGAGCCATGCTGCAGCTATATTAGTAGTATAGTTGTAGCACAAATGGGTCGGCTCGACCGAGGAAGCATCACGCTCTCATAGAATACCAGCATAAAATAGCAGCTTAACGCGTATGGTGAGTGTAGAGAACCAGAGGCCCTTTTTACTGGAAAAGAGGCATTCCATCTTAATCCTCACGGATGACAAAGCATCTGCATTTTGATTTGTAATCGAGGATAGATCTGTGGGCCGCAGCAACCACTTACCATCAGGTGGACTGTGTGCTCGTTTGTCACCCTTATCCTATAAAAAAAAATCTTTACTTTACTTTAGAACTTTTTCGCGCAATTCGTTACTCCAAGTGTAACTTTTTAGTAAAGCTGTGTTTCTATTAAAATCAGTCCACAATTCACGAAGATATTGCGTAACATACATAATTATAACTTTTAACAAAAAGTAAAAACCGGCTTCAAATTGCTAAAAAATAAGTTATTTATTTGCTACCCTTAGGAGTGGAATTTTTTCTCCAAATTTATATGCGACCACCCCTGAAGTATAGCCTATATAATAAAAAAGAATCATCAAAATTGGTTTAAAATCTGCTAAGATATAGTGTAATGTACATACAAAAAAAACATACACTCGAATTGAGAACCCCCTCTTTTTTGAAGTCGGTTAAAAAAGAACATACACTCGAATTGAGATCCTCCTATTTTTAAGTCTGCTTTAGAGAACCGTTGTAGCTCAACTAGAAAATAACGAAATTTGATCCGTTGCATTACAGGAGAGACATATGCAGAGGTGACGCGTCTTCTGCAGGGCTACATCGAGAACGAGGTGGACATGAACACGGACAGCACGTGTCGCGACAACTGTGCCTTTTACACACTCGCGGAGAACCATGGTTGCTTCAAAGATCAGTTCTGCACCAAGCAGCCAACGTGCAAAGGCCGCATCATAGACTGCCAGTACATCGATTCCGATATGTGGGTGTGTCTATCAGGGGTGAGTTTTCATTCTATTTCGTGTATATAAGAAAAAAGCTAAAGGAAACCTATTTTAAATTAACTATTCTATAGATTTGTATCTTTATACAAAGAATTTGTTTAACGGAGATCAAGACATATTGAATTTGCTAAAATATTAGATCATGTACTATAAAAAGGTGACATAAAATACCAAAACATAGATTGTTGCGTTTACAGAACCGAAACAGCAAACGGCGGTACGAATGGATCGAATACGAGAACGGAAGGACATTCGGCCACGTCGGTAGCTGCACGCGGGGCAGTACCAAGGTATTCAATTTGTGTCATTATACATGAACTCACAATTAATATTAAATCTGAAAACACTTCTATTCTCTTTTGCAAACTCAAGATAAACGCAAATCTGTAACTTATTAGTAAACTATGTTGACCTATGTTAAATAAGGCTATCTTGTTATTAATCTTAATGATGCTCATAACTTTAATTACTGTGAGCTAAAGCGTAAATATTTGTACGAAATGTTTAATACTGTATTAGAACTGTTCATTCTTAATAAACAAGCTCAAAAGTTATTTAAAAAAAATACTGACTGCGTAAAAAAGTTTACTGAAAAGATAAATACTTTACCAAGACGAATCTAACGACATCCCATATGTTATTTTTTTATAAGATAAGTGTGACAAACGAGCACGCAATCCACCTGATGGTAAGTGGTTGCTGCGGCCCATAGACATCTACATCTATTCTCGATTACAAATCAAAATGCAGATGCGTCGTTACTCGTGAGGACTAAGATGGAATGCCACGTTTCCAGTAAAAAGAGTCTCCGGTTCTCTACATTCACCATACGAAACACAGCAGCGTTAAACTGCTATTTTATGCTGGTATTCTGTGAGAGCGTGGTCCTTCCCCGGTCGGGCCGACCCGTTCGTGCTATAACTATACTACTAATATAGCTACAGCATTGCTCTACCTCGTAAAAAAAAGTTTAAAATCCATCAAGCCGTTAAGGCGACAGAGCGTGCCAAAGAAATAGACATACATACTCTCGAAAAAGATTACCCTCCTTCTGGGGCAGTCGGGTAAAAACATGGGTACCCTATAGTAATATTAGTTACTATATTTAACGCATGATTTAAAATTGTTTGGTTGCTTGAACATTTTTACTTAAAAAAAAAGCTAAGTGATTTTAGGGCTCGACATTTAGTAAGACATAACAAATGATAACCGCACTATTCCCCGATCCTAAAAGTCTTGGTCAATGAAGTAACAAGGGTACAAGTGCTTCAGGTGGACTCTTGGTGGCGCTGGTTGTTCTGGCATTGCTCCTACTGCATGTGCCTCTGCGACGAGTCCGGTCCGGAGTCCGACCGTTACTTCAGCCTGTGGGACTCTACATCGGACGTCAAAAACAACAAGTTAGTCAGTCCACTACGTTCTAAGGACGCCCGCACACTTAGGAATGTTAGAAATATGTAACTTCGACTCAAATTTGAAGAACCATCCTTCGATATCTTAGAAACTAGACTAATAACGATTTTTCCTCCCAAGGTCGACTCCTGGTGGAAATGGAATCTCCTTCACTGCTCTTACTGCTTTTGCCTTTGCGAGGACGAAGTCAACTCTACCGAACGTTTCTTTAGCATGAGAGAAGCGTTGGCTGACCTTGAAAAGAACATGTCAGTACCTAAATCTGACAGAGGGCGACGTAGTTTATATTATAGTCAATCAGCTTTGTAAATGTCTTCGCTAGAGTAAATTGGATTTTCTACTAAGGGTTTAAAATATAGTATTAAATCGGCGTAGTGCTAACAGCATGGGTGTGCGGGGGTCCACCGTAGCATTCGACGAGTGGAACGCCACAACAATTTTATTCATGTTTCAGGGTCGTGACTGGTGTCCGTCTTGTAAAGCACGGTCGAGTGTTCCATCTTCAGATAAGCGAAGGCACGCTTGGTGAAAGAGGCACAATAACACCTAGCAGTTGGGTGCCAATACAGAAGTTTGATCCCAATGAGCCGGGCGTGAGGGAAGGTGTTGATTACCATACCCTCACGTACGAGAAGAGAGCTATTGATTTGGACGACCTGGATTCACCTATAGGCCACGTCTTGACCGGCGTCCGGTAAGCCCAAAGTAAAGAAATAAGGTGATATTTGTCATTGTAATAGTTGCTGAAGTTCTATGTGATGTTTGCAGGTTCAGAATAATCGGTGCCCATTTGCACTTTGAGATCCGCTCGACGCCATTCAATTACACCACTGGACGTCTTTCGCCCGAAAAGAGCTTGTGGATTAGCAACGATAATACCGAAGGTGCTGAGAAGCCGAGGTAATTTCATGTGTTTCTTGATTATTTTATTTTTACTCCTATTCTCCATATTTTGTTTTGGTATTTGTGTAGCTATAGGGTGGAAATAAACAAATGGTTAAGATGGATAACTGGATATGGAAATATATTCCTTAGTCAGGCTTTGCCTTAATATTAATTTGACGTTTAATTTATTTGCATCATATTAACTGATAATAATGTCCTCAAGACCGCTCTTTCGTCACGTCGGTCAGTCTCAACAGAGACTAACCAGATGGTTAGTGTCTGTTGAGACTGAATTATAGTGCAAAAGGTTGCACCTGTTAAATCTTTATCTCTCTATTCCCTCTCACTCATAGCTCGATGGGCCATCAATAAGACACGATCAGAGAGAGATCAGGCGCAGGACCAACGGCTCTACGTGCTTTCCGAGGCACGGAGGTGAAACGGGCTGCCATTGATAATGTCTCGACAGAAAAACGTAATGACTGATTTTGGCCCAATCCGGGACCACATGATTAGCAGTGGTGCTTACTACCACTACACAGTCTTGATCGACTGATATGATACATGATGACAACTAGAGAATATGCCTAACTATTCCTTGCTAGCTTCCATGTTATATTGTGTTACTTATTGCATTTTAGCAAATTATTTTATATTCTCTGTAATTTTGAACTTTCGAAACATGCCTTTTCAGAACCCGTCTGAACCTATACCGCCCGGACATACCGACCCGCTCCTCGCTGCCACTGCCCGTGGACTCGAAACACGACCAGTACGTGGAGTTCACTAACACGGATTTCGAGGCGGACGCTGCCCAATCCACTGTTCCATTTATAGACATACAACCCCTGCAGCCAATGAAAGGTAAGCAATTGTCTTCAAACCTTAACTGAGTTATATATTTGGCCACTTAACACGTAAAAACAGATATTTCTATTTGTTTTCGTTATCTTAAACCTATTTAAATTTACTATTAGACGTAAGCCTCTTTTATATACATGCATAGTAAAGTCTTAGTTTATATTATATACGTCCCACTGCTGGGCCTGTGCCCAGACCTCTTCTTATTCCTGAGGGTTGCATTTATTCAAAAGTAATTTTAGTAATTCAAAACTGTTTAAAAAATCTGACGTTAAATTTAAATTTCAATCTAATTTTTTTTTGTATTACATACTTTTGTAACAATATTTATATATTGCACCTGCAAGTACAAAAAGGTAGGGGAAGGTATTTTCTCTCTTTTCAATAAACTTTTTATGCAGAGCCGTGGTTAGAGCTCAGATGGTTAGCGCTCGCTGTAACTTTCACAGTACGCGAGAAACCCGGGTTCGACCCCGCCGGCACCAATGAAATTGTTAATTGCAATTTTAAGTGCTGATTTACCACGTGCTCGGTGGTGAAGGAAAAGAAACATGAATGTCTGACAAATAAAAAAAAATATTTCGAAGACGTGTGAAGTTCGCCAACACGCATTGGGGCACCGCGGGCGACCTTTCCCTGCCCTAAAACCCTCTCAGAAATGAGAGGAGGCCTGTGCCCAGCAGTGGGACGTATATTGGCTGTAACTTTAACTTTTATATGCAGTTTGTTTTAACTATTGGACTTGTTTACCTGAGGATTAAAAAATCGGCCCTTAGTAATTTACATTTAAACACTTCTTAGATTACACTCGATACCACACTAACAAAGTCCTATAACAACAAATTTGTTCTACTTAGACATGGGCTTTGTTCCCAGAGGTCCCAGTGATTTTCAATTAATTATTTGTTTTTGTTTTTCAGGTACAGCTCTATCGAGCGGTGCGGGTCTGATGCACCGCGGTGCTCCGGGCTCGGGGGGTTTCATTGCCGTGAAGCTGTTCACTTATGACTACTCCCGACACGTGAAAGCCGAAGTGCCGCCGACCGCCTACGAGGAGAACGGCGACACTACGGAGTTTACACCTGTCGTCAACTAGTTTAGGGTCCATTTTTGTATACTCATTCTTTCCTAATTTTAATGTAATGTAATGTAATTTCTTAAATAAACATCCTCCTTGAAGGCTTCCTTTTATATAAACTTTTGAGTTAATATCGTTTAAAATTTCTACATACTAAGAAATCAAAACTGTTTTAATAGGTATAGCAGCTTACTCAAATAAAAAAAGAGCCAGTGCTTTTAAACTGAGTTTGAAACAATATCTATATGTATAATGAATATATATAATCTAGTCACTATTAACAGTCAAGCCTAGACGGATCAGTAAGCTGAAGTGGCTATGGGCCCGCCATATAGTTCGAAGAACCGACAATCGATGGGGAGAAAGGATCTCGAGTGGCAGCCTCGTACTGGCACAAACGCAGTGTTTGCCGACCCCCAATTGATAAGGTGACGACCTGATAAAACACGCAGACTATTAATGGATGCAGATGGCTCGAGACCATACTTTAGGATACAATACGAGGGGCACACTAAAATGATCGGGAATAAAAAAAACCACATGCACGGTATAGCTAAATTATATTTCGAAGTATTCTCCGTTCAACTTAATGTACTTTTCCATTCGTGCAAACCAATCATTAAAACAGTAATTCCAGTCTAAAGTTGATGTTGACAAAATGGCTGATTTGTACTTCTGATCTTCAAACCGTTGACTTTAAGCTCAGATCAGGACTGTACGGAGGATGGCTCATCAGCTCAACGTTTTCCTGCTTCAAAAAATCATTTGTCTTCCGAGCCGTATGGGACCTCGCATTATCGTCATGTAAGATGATGCGACGTTTCGGGTTATTTTTTCGGAGTTCGGCTATCATTTCTGGCAAACAAACCGTGATATACCACTCAGCGGTAACCGTTCTGCGTTCCTGTAAAGGAATTGTAGCAACATGCCCCTTTTTCGAGACAAACGTAGCGACTATTTTCTTTGACACGCTGCGGGAGCGAGCCACTTTCGTTGGTTTGACCTCGTCTTCGAAGACCCAAACTGCTGACTGATGTTTTCTTTCAGGTTCGTATGAATAAATCCATGATTCGTCAACTGAGACGATATTATAAACGGCATTTGACTTCCTTTCGGTGAAGCGTTGCAGAGTATTCCGGCACCAATCTACACGAGCCGCCTTTTGCTCTTCGGACAAATTGTGAACCCAGCAGGAAACTAGCTTTCTTACACACAGCTCATTATGTAATATCGACTGAATTTGTAGTCATTCCGATACCGATAACAGCCCGAATCTGCTCGTATGTCACATGACGGTCATCTAATATAATAGTTCGCACAGCTGCGATGTTTTCAGGCGTGACCGCTGTTCTTGGTCGGCCTGCAGAAGAAACAGTGCTGAGCGACACACGACCGCGTCGCAACTCGGCATACCAACGGTATATTGTCGTTTGACTCGGTGCTTCAACATCATAAATCGAAACAAGTTCGCTCAGACATTTATCTTGAGATAAGCCTCGACGAAAATTGTGATAAATTATGGCACTGAAATGTTCACGCGTGAGCTCCATTTCTGTTAACGACGTGTCAACTTTAAACCAACATAGTTTTTGTTTTTAATCATTTTTTTAATTGTTTGAATGTCATTAAGATTCTAAGAGGCCAGTATTCAAATTCTAAAAAAGGTTTTATTGTAACTCAATCCTAAATATTATATTCCCGATCATTTCAATGTGCCCCTCGTACCAATCTATAGAAGGCCTATGTTCCACAGTAGACTAATGATGGGCTGTTGTGTTTGTGTGTGTGAATCTAGACATTAATGAAGTTTAGGTCGAATCCTTAATTAGGCATCGTTTAGATTATTAATTGATAAATACTATAGATATAATGAAATACAGAATGCTATATCAAACTCCAACTCAGCTGTTTATAACAACAAATTGCAATTCAAAACAATCGATTGATGGACGACCTCAAACTGGGACGACAGGACTTCCAGGTTTCGACTATAACTGGAGACGTTTTACTTAGTACGTTTACTACTAAATATTTGAATTCGTTTAAAAATTGATAAGGACTCAAAGTGGCAACATGGTTCCAACAACAGTAACAGAAACATGGCCAAAGATATTTATTTCATAGAACAACGCACTGTGACATAACTTGACATTTTATATGTAGTAGAGCCATGCTGCAGCTATATTAGTAGGTATAGTTTAGGCACAAATGGGTCAGGTCGACCGGGTAAAGACCACGCTCTCACAGAATACCTAGTTAGTAGTTAATGCTGCTGTGTTTCGCGTGGTGAGCATAGAGAACCGGAGACAACATTTTACTCGAAACGAAGCATTTCATTTTAGTCTTCACGGGTGACAACGCATGTGCATTTTGATTCGTAATCGAGGATAGATGTAGATGTCTATGGGCCACAGCAACCACTTACCATTAGGTGGACAGTGTGCTCGTTTGTCATCCTTATCCTATAAAAAAACTATTATTAGCTGCCAAGCAGTTCACTACTGGACGTTTCGTTTCGCATAGTTTCGTAGAGTTCATATTTATGCACAGGAAGACTACAACGAAGTAATACCTGACTACAAACTATTATTTATTTACTTATTCTTTATTGCATTATTTATTACAAAAGAATACAAAGGGCGGTCTTTGTACCATGAGATAGTCTCTTCTATACATATAAATGAAATTGAACGGTCTGTCTGTAATATCGAAATAACTTCCATTTATTGAGCTGAGGGGATTATTTGCATACTCTTAAGACATTCGTTTCTTTTTTATTCTTTTTCTTTTCTTTTGGGCTATTCTTCGGAATGGCTGAACCGATTGTAATGACACTTGACGAACAGAGAAAGCAATGCAAGGACTGATCTAGGCTATATTTAATCCGAAAACCATGAAGAACATTTTTTGAGAAATCTAAAAATTTAGAAAATAATTGATCTTTGATGATTATCTTAAATATAAATAACCCCACATTAATAGATGCAGGTGAATTCTGGGCGGATAGCTAGTAATATTGTAATCTAGAGGGCAGCACTAGTTGCTTGGCTTGTTATCTATTGTGGATTAAATCTTAGAGAAAAGTGGTACGATAACCATAGCCATTACTACTACACTGCTAAAATCACAGTTTTGTCAACTTCCGATTACTATTTTTGGTATATTTATTGATACTTTTAAGTTGGTGCAGATGAAAGTTGTCTTTCATTTGTGTTAGAAGTAAAATTATGTTTATAAGCATGACATTATTTTGGATCATTTCAACTTTTTACAATTGTCGCAGTATAAAATAGCTATATTGTTAAGTCATCCATCGCACAGCAACATTGATATGACACATATATACATGGTACGTATCAGTAAGGTGACCGAGTTACATCCGGAGTATCTGAATAGATAATATAGCTAATCTAAGGTTGCTAGTGAGGACTGGTCCGCTATGGTGTGCAACAAATTTATTAGCTATAATCTTGTATGTTTTTTTGTGTAATTTTATTATGGAACTTGCTCTGATTACCTATGGGTCCATATCTTTTTATTTTTGATGAAGAGTACTGTATCATGGGCCTTTGTAAATTGCAAAAAAAGATTAAACTGCGGACATTATTACACCGTTTCTCCTCTGCACAGAGGAGCATCGTTTTGAAACGGTATTAGATTAAAAAAAATCTTCGTCTAATTATAGTTTTCATTTCACATTATCATCGTCATTTATAATCATTAGAACAAACATAACCTTGTAATACCAGTTACTAGACTCCACAGAATTAGTAATTCGTTTATGGAGTGAAGTTTACGTTTTTACAACAAAATCCCAGAAAATGTACAAAATTTGTCAATAAACAAGCTTTGTTTTATTAAAAAAAAAAAGTACAAAAAGGTTTATGATAATATCAAAGAATAATTGAAATAAAAATAACGCTGAAAAACCACGCTGGTTCTATTAAAATTCATTTACAAAATTGTACAAACAAAATTATTGTAAAGTTAAAAATATGTTTTAAAAAAAGGTCCCGCTGGGTTTCTTGCTGATTCTTCCCAGGACAGGTATTTTGCGAACCAGTGGTAAAAAAAAAATACTTATGTAAATAAGGAGTAAGAAACAATAAGTATTACATAATCTTACCGATAATTAGAGAATATTTAGACTTAATTATTTATAAATATTTATATTATTTAGAATATTTAGAATGCTTCTACATACTTAAAATATTATCCTTTTTCTTTCGTTTTAAAGTTAATCATGTTGCACATATAAACAGTTTAAAATAAAGTTTTTCTATGAACCCTTTTTATGACGTTTTTGCGACTTATTTTAGGTGTCATTGTAAGTTAAAATAGTATTCTAGTTACCAATTACGAATATATAAATAAATAACATGTGATTCACGTAAAAATTTTAAATCACCCTGAACATATTAAATAAATAATATAGATGTTTTTATTTCGTGTACCTTCATCACGCTGTATTAATGAAAATCATAAAAGCAACATGTGCAATACGCTACAATATATATATACCTGCACTCACCAAGCGAAACGCAGAGGTAAACCTCTATTCACGCTGGTATTCTGTGAGGTCGTGGTACCACCCCGATTCGAGTCGGCCCATCCGTGCGACAGCAAAAGCTGCCGCGTGGCTCTACCACTATTATATTGATATGATTTAATATTGTAATTCTGTAACATGCATCATGTTTGAGTAAATGGCTTGTGCATACACACAAAAGAAAACTAGTTGCGACATGGCATGCACATTGCTGCACAATTACGTTGTCACATATAATAAATTAATAAAAAATAAAGAAAATTTTGTGTTTAGTGAGATGATGATTCTACTGTAATCGGAGCTTTCTTCAGTCTTCTATGGTGATGCACGTTTAACATTTATTTAAAACAGCGTCAGCAGCTCCTGCGAGGGCAGCAGCTGGCGCTGCGAGTATGTGCGTGCGCGTATACGCGCCTGTGTGTGTGTGTGTGTGTGTGTGTGTGTGTGTGTGTGTGTGCGCGCGCGTGCGTGTGTGTGTGTGTGTGTGCGTGCGTGCGTGTGTGTGTGTGTGTGCGCGCGTGTGTGAGCGTGTGTGTGTGTGTGTGTGCGTGTGCGTGCGTGCGTACGTACATGCACGCGCAGTGGGTGATCAGCAAGCAGTGCTAGCAGCTTCTGCGAGGGCAACAACTGACAGCGCGTGTATGTGCGTACGTACGTGTGTGTGTACAGTGCCAGCAGCTCCTGCGAGAGCAGTAACTGGTGGCGCGAGCTAGTGTGTGTGCGTGCGAGCGTACGAACCTGCACGCGCAGCGGGTGCACGGCGAGCAGCGCCAGCAGCTCCTGCGAGGGCAGCAGCTCCGCGGCCCGCAGCCCCATGCAACGTACACCGGCACACAGGAACGCCGCCAGGTAGCGATGCAGCGGGAAGTGGAACGACGCGTGCATCGCCTCCGTCTGGAATACAAACCCGTGTCAAACATCTACCATTAATCAGTATAAAGATGACGTTGTTTCGCATTAGTAGATGCGAGTGGTGTGTACATAGGGTACTGACCCGGTGCACGTGCGGCGAGGCGAGGTTGGCGGCGTGCAGCCAGTCGCGCAGGCGGGCGAGCGCGGCGGCCACCATGCGGCGCGCGAGCGGCGCGTGCGCGGGCTCGCACAGGTGGCTCAGCACCGACCACATCGGGTACGCGGCCGCCTCCAGCTCGCACGAGAACGCCGCGTAGTACGACGACGGCTCGAACTCGATGTGCCCGCCCGTCTCGCGCACGTTCACGTTCATGCCTTCCGGTTTACACATTATATATTAGTAAAACTTGTTAACGGTGTAGTGTCAGTGTAATCCACTATCCCATATCATCTCCTGTGGATGTCGTAAAAGGCAACAGAAGCAAACAAAAATAAATAATCCTCGGTTGCCAACTCGCAAGATGAATATGCGTGTGCAAAGAATTTACATTTCATGAAGTATCATAAAAAGATATTGTGAAATAACTTAAACCTATTGATATTAAAAAAAAACCGCAAATCTCTGGGGGATTTCCATTAAAGCTATTGCCTCTATAATAGATACAATCGCACCTCAACTAGCTATATTTTTAATACTAGTATGGAATCTGGTGTGTTTCCTGATTTAATGAAACATTCAACAAATGTCTATTCAAATTAATATTCATTCAACAACAAAGTACTATCGAACCAGAAGAACAACAAATTCTTCCGGTTCGATAGTACAAATGGGCATGCCTCAGGGCTCAATTCTCGGCCCTTTTCTGTTTCGTGTATATATTAATGACTTATCTTACATAGTAAGAGATTATTATTATATACTCATAGTATTAATTGCTAATGATACTTTATTAATTTTCCAATGAACACGGCAATTCTTAAAACGTGACAATGTAAATGATGCTATATGTAAATTAGTAAATTTTTTTAATGTTAATAATTTGTAAACTCTAAATGTCAAACAACTAAATATTAATGTAATTTTAAATGGGGAAGAGCCAAGATTTGTCGATACCACAATTTTTCTTGGAATCACACTAGACGCGAAGCTTTAATGAGGCCCCATATAACAAAACCACCAAGCAGATTTAGTTCTGCAGCATATGCTGTAAAAGGGATTAGAAATCAATTTCAGCTACGGATAGGCCGTTGGGAGGCAATATTGCCTATATAAAATAGAGGCTCAGGGCCTGCAGCGAGTCTGCCACAAGAATTAAGGACGTCATTGATATTAATACCGTATCCAGTAGCTTGAAAACGTCTTCCAATGCAGCAGTGAAGTTTTGGGGATATGGGCTACATGGTAGAGCCTAACGCTGCTGTTTCGTGCGGTGACTGTAGAGAACCGGAGCCCTTTTTACTGGAAAAGAGGCATTCTATCTTAGCCCTCACGGGTGACAACGCATCTGCATTTTGATTCGTAATCGAAGATAGATGTAGATGTCTATAGGCCACAGCAACCACTTACCATCAGGTGGACTGTGTGCTCGTTTGTAACCCTATCCTATAGAAAAAAAGAAGCAGTAATTCTTGTTAGACATTGGAAGTTTAATGCACAAAAGTTTACGTATATATTATAGCTGTGTATCAGAGAATTATGTATTATTTAAATAAACATTTTATTCGTTGAACGTTAATTTTAGAGGTGCAACGGGGTAAGTGTTTAAAAGTATTCTTAGATTATGCACTATTTCAGTCTGTAGATTGGCAGTGTTATTAGAAAATCTACTTGTTATAAAAACATGATTACATCGAGACACGATACTATATCCAGATTTGAATTGCAACGTCTTCGACAGGTATAGCCTATCGAGATAGCAGCCATATATATTGGGCGACTTCTTCAAATTCATGGCTCAAACCTCCGAATAAATATTGCAATTTATTTATAATTTTGCTATTTTTCTCTTTTTTTTATTTAGTTTGCATTTTTTTTTTGTAATGATACTTTATTTATAAATCTTATTTACCAAGGAAAAAGACCTAGTGGTAAATTTTATCTTTTGTTATTTATTTAATTTTATTTTTCTAGTTAATGCGTAGCTGTAGAATTAGTTAATATTTTAGTGCTTACATATCTTAGAGTTGGATAATTTGTAGTTTTTTATGCTTAAAATTATTCAGCCGATTGTTTTGTAGTGTTGAGTTGTTGCTTGTTGCAGGCTTTTGTGTTGCAATTAAATACCTTACACCAAAAACCGCACATTTGTTTCTTATCTTGCTCGAACCCGACCCCTAAGGCTTGGCTACACATGACACGATGTTGGTACAGAAACATGTATTACCTCTAGAAAAATGGTGGGGTATCCATCCCTCCCCATTTAAAAATTACAGTAATATTTAGATGTTAGAAATTTTGTGGAGTTACGAATTTCATACATTTAGTTTTAGTGCCATTTAAATGGAAACTATTAACATTAAAATAATTTACTGATTTAGATATAGCATTATTTATTTGGTCATATTTTAATAATTCTCGGTTTAATTTGAAAATTAATGAAGTATCATCAGCAAATAATACTATATCATAGTTATCCCCTACTATATAAGATGAGACATCAATATATGTAAGAAACAGAAGGGGGCCGAGATGTGAGGCACGACCATTTGCACTATCGACCCGGAAGAACTCATACTATTAATGACAAATAATAAATTTAAGTACATCACTTCATACACCGTAGTGTTGAAGTTTCCTGATTAAAGTTTCATGGTGAACTCAATTGAAGGCTTTAGATAGTCACAGAATATACCCAAAGCATCCTGTGAATTCTCCCACGCATTGAAGATATATTTAATCAGCTCTACATCAGCATCAGTTGTCAAGCGACTACTTGTGAAATTGAATTGATATTAATGAAGTAAATTATTTACATTTAAAAAAAAACATTAAAATTAGAATATTTTTTTCAAACATTTTACTAATTGTTGGCGGTACAGAAATAGGTCTAAAATTCAATTCAAAAAAAGTACTACCAGATTTAAATATAGATATTATTTTACTATATTTTTGCGAGGGCGAGTCGTCTTATATGGCAACCACTCCTTCGAAGATTATTAGCACGCAGTGCCCCGTCGTTACCATGCACGCCACCGTAAGTAGCAAGGAATAACGGGGCCGCTGGGGACGCTCATAATTGCCACGATCGGAAGCGGTTTCCAATTACAATTTTTATTGTTAGTTTGCTGTAATCAGAAAGGTGTTGCTGCCTATCTCCTGTCTAAATTGCTTATTATAAGGTAGATATAAAAAGAATAAATAAGTTCCCCTCTGTTGCCTCTTACGACACCCACGAGAAGATATGGGATAGTGGATAGTGGTCTTCCTAATATCTGACTAAAAATAAAAAAATTACTGTTACCAACTTGGCTTGCTAATTGTGGCAACTATGGCAAATATCCCGCCTATGAGGCAATCTATGGGGGAGGGCTGTGATCACCGGTGGACTTTAATAGGCTGTAAACGGTAACGGTAATCGAGTTTTCATTTCTTCTATATGTGTCAGTCCCATAATTATATAAATAATTATGGGACTGACACAGTCATAGAGCAAAGATATACCAATGCCAGTATGCAGAGACAAATCTATAAACAAACTCCAAAATGTTAAAAATTTTGTTCGTAGTCTACATAATACATTGAAGTTTTAGTTTGAATGCGAGATTGTCTCTGAATAACGGCTTTAGCCATGTAAGGTTACACCGCTAGTTCCTGTTTATGTAATGTATATAATTCTTACATTACAAATGGTCCTTCGAGCTGGATATGAAGCAATGAATACTTAATCATTCTCATCATCAGTACAGCTCATCACAAGTCTACAGTTGAACATAGGCCTCCCCCAAGTAAACAATGCACATGTCTGAGCCGCCTGCATCCATCGACTTTCTGCATCTCTTAACATGTTGTTACTCCATCGAGTGGAATATCTAATTAATATCTAAACTCTTATTTTAATTAAATGCACTCTGTTAATATAACTTACGTTAGTTTATTATAACAATAAAAGTTTACCACAAATAATTTATACATTATACTAACGTAGTAGTAGCAACTAGTACTTGGAATACAGTAGCAAAGTGTACTAATACTATTTTATAATAGAAATATAAAAGGGTTTGGGACTTGTACCTTGCAGCATGGAGAGGAACTCGAACCACATGTCGACGAGCGAGTCGTCCTGCAGGAAGAGCAGCGCGACGCTCTTGTGCGAGAGCACGTTGTTGAAGTCGGAGACGAGCGGCCAGTAGCAGTGCTCCTTCATGAGGCGCTTGGTGCAGTCGATGACGCGGTGGCGGTGCGCGTGGTGCAGCGTGCTGGGCACCAGGATGCGGCCCATCATGAGGCGCAGCGACAGCACCATGACGTGCAGCAGCTGCAGCTGCTGCACGCAGCGCAGCGCCAGCGCCTCGTTGCTGAACAGCTGCACGGACATGTGCACCACGCGGTTGGACAGCGTGTCGGGGTCGGCCGCCTGCTCCAGCACCAGCGGGATGCGCGCGTAGTGCAGCACGAACGTGCGCGTCAGGTGCTCCTGCGCCATGCGCACACACAACCCTCTTTAATATATACATATACATATGTCACAATGGCTCTGCCCACCCAATTTTGTTAAGGGTATCAAAAAATTGTATAAAAAATTACGAATTAAACGGTATTCTGATTTTTTTTCTACCTTTAAAATGACTGAAATATTGATGAGTAAAATGGTGTTTTACAGTAAGGGCGACCGCTTTGCTCCGCATCGCGATGTGACGTCACAAAACGACACGTCGATGCCACCAGTAGTATTTATTGTTATATTTTTCTTATTCTCTCCATATTTTTCTTGTCATGTTATTATTTATCAGTAACCTTTATTTTCTGTTTTTTTTTTTTTTTTAATTTCTGTTATATCACGCTCCTTGGAAATAAAATGGTGACCTAAGATACAGGTTTTACCTAGTTTAGGCACCAGTTTTTCACCTAACAAAAGTATTGTATCAGATGTAAGCACATATTTTTTGTTTTCTGAATGTATACTGTTGGTGAAAATAAATAAATAAATAAAATAAATACTTTAGTTTATACATCAAATCAAATAGTTTATTTGTGATTCACAGTTGACATAAAGGTCTTATTTAAACACAAATAAAGTTCAGTCTGTGATCAGCCGCATGGGCATCATCATTATCATCATCATCATCATTACAGCCCTTCATAAATTCACTGCTGAACATAGGCCTCTCCCAAGGAATGCCACAAAGTACGGTCCTGAGCCACCTGCATCCATCGACTTCCTGCATGTCTTACCAGGTCGTCACTCCATCTAGTGGGGGGTCGCCCTACACTTCGCCTACCGGTACGGGACTGCCACTCAAGAACCTTACTTCCCCATCGGTTATCGGTTGTTCGAGCTATATGGCCGGCCCACTGCCACTTCAGCTTACTAATCCGTTGGGCTATGTCGGTTACTCTGGTTCTACTGCGGATATATTCCTAAGTTTATCACGCAGAGAAACCCCGAGCATAGCCCTCTCCATAACTCGCTTAGCGACCTTGAGCTTCCTCATACGGCCAGCAGTGAAGGACCACGTCTCAGATCCGTAAGTCATCACTGGCAACACGCACTGGTTGTACAATTTCGTTTTCAGGTTTTGAGGTATGTCTAACGAGAAGATGTGTCGTAGTTTTCCGAACGCTGCCCAGCCGAGTTGAATCCTCATGGGCATACAAATCAAATATTATTAATAGTTCATTGATTACATTATTCATAATAATAGACTAGATTATTAGATTAAATTATTCATCATAAATAATATTGATTACATTGGATTAGATTAGATTATTCATAAATTATTATATAAATAAACCCAACGACTATATAAATTATTATATAGTCGTTGGGTTTATTTTAAGTATTATGTCATCTAATACAGTCAACCGGATATTAACTCTGACATTCGATATAATATGTAGGTAAACGACCGTATACTTCCGAGCGCGCGGTTAGTACTGAACTTAGCAAGTTCCTACTGCACGTTCGCTCTCTCGGATTGTGACGTCACTTCACAGAAAACGAGCGGGTAAAATTAAAAATATTGCGAAACTTCAAAACGTTATAACTTTCGTATTTCTGCACCAATTTGGATGAAACAAAAACTATTGTTATTTTCATAAACATAGCTTTGAAGCTATATAGGTTTTATTGTCAAATTAGAACATGTTGATGTGACCCATTGAACAAACAGCCCACCTCATGGTAACTGGATGCTATGACCCATACACATCTACATTTAGTGTCGATTAAGAATAAAATGCAGATGCGTTAACACCCCTGAGGACTAAGATAGAATGTCTCGTATCCAAGAAAGTCTCCAATTCTCTACACTCACCATACGAAACACAACAGCATTAAGCTGCTATTTTACGCTGGTATTCCGTGAGCGTGGTCCTACCGAGCTTGAGCCGACCTGCACAACGGCTGTACTACAACCATAATATACATGCAGCGTGCGACACGTACACACATCACATCACCGATCTGCTCATACTGGAACTAGGGTGGCGCCACTTAGGAATAAGGTGAAATGTCTGACTGATTTTTTCTTTTTTTTGAAGGAAAGTTATTTTGTTAAGAAAATGTAAGGGTTAAAATGTTTCTTTCTATTTTATAAGTTATATTTTTTTATTAATTAGATTAGAAATAAATTATCCAAATTACAGATAACCCTAAAAGCAAAAAAGTAAGGAGCAAACAACTGAGACATAATTTGGTATATTTACTTATTACTCTAGAAACCGATAATTTTTTTATTTAAAACGACATTTTGTGAGGGAAAGATTATTAACCCTAATTCCTTTTAAAAATCAATTGAATACTACACTAATACAATATTATAAATATTATCATTCACTGTACCACATTCATTTTGACTGTTATTTTCAGATTGATTACATTAACATCACCATTACCATTACGGCCTAATAAAGTCCATTGCTAAACATAGGCCTAACATAGGGGATATTTGCTATAGTTGCATCGCTTGACAATCAGATTGGCAACCGAAGTTGTTTTTTATTTTTAGTCATTATTAAAAAGATGCCGCTGCCCATCTTCTGATTTGTTTCCCTCTGTCACCTCTTACGACGCACCGGAAGATATGAGATAGTGGATATTCTTACACCGCCACTACACGGTAATAAAACATTACGTCAAATAATAACACAATAGAACAAATCCCTGATACAAGAATTACTCCTTTAATGTCAGTTACTTTGAAGAATTGCTTTATAATATCCGATAAAATTTAAAACTCTTATTAAGTATAATGCTAATAAAATGTACACAATTTGCTCAATCATTGAGAAATCTAGAATTTTTAAATTCGTAAAGTGGTTCACCTTATAGTCCTGATCGGGCAGCATGTTGAGCAGGAAGCAGACGACATTCTGCGGGAACTCGTACTTGAAGGTCCAGAAGATGAACTCATCCAGCAGTGTGTGGTGCGTCAGCCGAGGTGCCAGCGCGGCCAAGTGCCGGTACCTGCACAGCACTCGCATTGTTACCAGAATTGATAACGATTATACGACTTCCGAACTCACGGAAAACCTCAACTCGGAAGAATTAAATTATACACTTTGGACAAGAATTAAGTCATTATAGACCATCATCACAAGTCCTCTGCTAAACATAGTCTTCTCCCAAGGAATGCCACAAAGCACAGTCCTGAGCCACCTGCATTAATCAACTTTTTTTTTTGGAGTTTATGGCCTGGTATCTAGACCTTTAGGCCAAGTCTTAAGTATTTTTATTCGGTTTATTGTAATTTCCCCACTCCTTCATAGTATACTGCTTCACAATATGTTGATGCGTCACATTGTGCAGTTCTTGGGAGATTTTGGCGGCAACTTGATCCAGCAGACAGCTGATAGTTGGCGATGGTATCTAAAGGTGCCTATGCAAACAAACAGCTTATCTTGAGAATCCATCACCATCAGAGCACTTGTTTCACTGTTTCCACTAATAGTTCACATGCGTAGACACTTAATACACAAAATCGCAACACTTTTACATATCAAAGTCCACTTCAAACCATTATTTAAACAATAATACAGGAGCAGCAAACCGCCGCCGGTCAATTTCCCGCCAAAACTCTCCATTCATCAACTTGCTGCATCCAGCAGGTTGCCAGTTCTTGACTATAAATCGATAAATTTAAAATTCTCTTCCTTGTAGTCCACAATTTGGCACTGGCTTGTATTTGGTAACATAAGAGATAGTCTCGGATGCACTGGCAGAGGCACGGAATACAACCACTTTTCTTAGATTCTTTATTAAGGATACATGTAGGTCTATTTTAGCCACAGCATCCACTTATTAGAACACACCTAAATCCCAATCTCCCCAAAATTCTCTCTTTAAGTGACCCATGATGAAAGAAGTTGGGGAGTGCTTTCAGCCGGGATGGAAGATGTGATTTAGATGTGGACAGGCGTGTCGCTGCCGGGAACAAAGTCAATGGTGCCCTGACTGCGTTAGTCAAAAGGCAAGGTGTAGTGAAGAGTGCACGCCTTGCAATACATAACGCAGTGTTGGTACCGACTTTGTTATATGGCAGCGAAACCTGGGTATGCCAGAAGCATAAAAGTAAGTTTAATGCAGTGGAGATGGGATCTCTTTGTAAAATGTGCGGCGTTACCATGGCCGACCGAAAGCGAAACGAAGAGATTCGCAATATGGCAGGTTTGAAAGATGACCTTATCACAAAAATTAATAAAGGCGTGCTTCGATGGTTTGGGCACGTTGAGCGACTGAGTGAAGACCGAATGGTGAAGAAAATATATAGAGCGAAAGTAAATATTAAAAGGTGTCGAGGTGGACCGAGACTAACTTTCGAAGACCATGTGAGCAAATTGCTCGCTATAGTCTTTATAAATATTATTTTCTTTATTAAATATTTTTTTAATATGTTCCCTCCACATTATGATTTTCTCCTGTATCGCGGGAGCAGTTTACATACACAGATTTCACAAGGATAAACATCCAGACCCAGAACAATTATTTGTAGGCCATACAAATATTAGTAAACTAAAGAATGTGTAAGGCAAAATTTGATTGGTCATCAGACTCAAAAGACAAGCGCAATGTAGGTTAATATTTTTTTTTTTATAAAAGTGAAGTGACAAACGAACTTACAGTTCACTTGATGCTAAGTAGCTACTGCATTCCATGGACACCTGCAGCCGACTTTTAAAAAACAACAAAGTAGGCTGGCTATACATGAGTGCTAAGATGGAACACAAAACCTGTAATTATACTGGATCTCTATACCCGTCAGACTCGAAAACAGAGCCATGCTGCAGCTATATCAGTAGTATAGTTGTAGCACGAATGGGTCGGCTCGATCGGGGAAGGACCACGCTCTCACAGAAAACCAGCGTAAAATAGCAGCTTAATGCTGCTGTGTTTCGTATGGTGAGTGTAGAGAACTGGAGACCCTTTTTACTGGATACGAGGCATTCCAACTTAGTCCTCACGGGTGACAACTAATCTGCATTTTGATTCTTTATTGAGGATAGATGTCGATGTCTATGGGTTACAGCAACCACTTACCATCAAGTGGACTGTGTGCTCGTTTGTCACCCTATCCTATAAAAACTATTTCGCGGCAGAAAGGGGTAAGAGAGTCGTACCCAGCCTAGACCCAGATGGGCTCCTGGACAGAAAATTACCAACCCCAGTACTAGAATAGCAGTATCTACCACCTAGTTGCAGTAGTTTTTTTTATAGGGTAAGGGTGACAAACGAGCACACAGTCCACCTGATGGTAAAGTGGTTGCTGCGGCCTATAGACATCTACAACTATCCTCGTTTGCGAATCAAAATGCAGATGCGTTGTCACCCGTGAGGACAAAGATGGAATGCTATAGTAGTAGTAGATGTAGTATGTAGTAATGTAGTACTAGATCAATTAATGTACTGATGATGCATGTAGAAAGTACTGGACATTACTTGCTGCCAATAGATTACGGAGGATATATTCAGCAGCAAATTGAGTTGTGGGATCATGAAGTAATTATACACACGCACACACACGGTAAACGAAATGTAGGACGGCCCCCCCACTAGAGGTGGTGACGATCTGGTAAGATATGCAGGAAGTCTATGGATTCAGGTGGCTCAGGACCGTGCTTTGTGGCATTCCTATGTTCAGCAGTGAAGGGCTTGTTATGATGATGACTAATGATATGGAAGCGCGCGTATACTCACTCGTCGGGCGGCTCAGGCGCAGGAAAGGATTCGATGGCCTTCTCGTACATCTTGTTAGACTCGGCCATGTAGCGTCCGTACTCCGTATCCGGGAACGGTGGCTCCACCAAGTTGCGGTACATCTGAACACAACACAGAATTGGAATATGTGAGCAAGTAAACCACTTTTGCTAGTCTTTGTAGGTTAGACATGTGTCAGTCATTCATTTCTAGTGACCCGATCATTCAAGTATTGATTCGACCAACGAGCCGGGTCATTTGGGGCGATCAATCAAATGGATCATTTCAAGTTTCAGTACTCTGTGATCTGCGAGACCCGCTCAATAATGTCGGTAGTAGTATATTACTATACTCTTTAGTCGTAGGACCTGTCAATCATTTTTTACGTGGTAGTGCCAAACTGCAGCTATAATTATAGTATAATAGCAGCTCAATGCTGCTGTGTTTCGTATGGTAATATTTTTTTTATAGAATTACAACACACCAACGTTTAGATTCTTAACCTAGGTGATGTAGGTTTGCTTGTTAGTCACCGTTATTTTATAAAACAATAAACGTTATCTGAATGAATTCAGAAAATAGGAAGAAGCCACTAACTTATAGAACATCTAAAATAAAATTTTCGGAAGATTTACGATAACGCTCGACTACTGCCACACCTGACGATATATGATTTAGCCATAGTTCGTAAAGCACACTGCTTATTTAAAAAAAGAGCCTACTCATTTGCTGTTGGATTTCTTATTGTAATCTAATTAGACTGACTAAAGTAAGTTTGAAGAGAATTTGAATGTTGTTAGAACATTTTTTTTTTTTAAATATATTATCTCAACAACACGCGAGCTGATAACGAGAATTTTGTTTCTAGAGATATTTCAATAATTTTAGTCTCAAAAGATAAGTTTAGGATAAGATAAGATAAGATAAGATATTTTATTTACTAAAACATGTGTGAGATATACATTGCATGGACAGATATATATTCTTGGTGTTAAGTGTTGTTAGTATCAACATGTTTTACCGATATTCGGTGTGTAAAATTTAAAGTGTTAGGTTGTTAGTTTTCATTTAACATTAGCAGTCTATTAATATACAAAGTCAGTGAAATTATTACTTACAACAATTATAATTAAAAGTATATGTATGTATAAGGCAATTATATAATGTCAAAATTTATCATTAAGAAAGTCAGTTACTGTGTAGTAGCATTTTTCAATTAAAAAGTTTTTGAATTTATTTTTAAAAAGATTGCTGTTCAGTGATTTATACATCTGAGAAATTTTATTATAGATTTTAGGAGCCATGCATACTACACTCTTTCTTAGCAGAACCGTTCTTGCTTGTTGCAAGCACAATTTACTTCCATCATGATGGTTGCGCTTTACTTTGTCAGAACTATTTCAATTGAAATTATGAAAATCGGATAATCAGTTTAGAAGATATGAGCAAAATTGTATAAGAGAAATGTGATAACCTGTTACCTATTTAAAGTTTATGTTCTAGAAACATTTTAGTTATTGTAGTTATATAAAATATTGTTGTTTTAATATGAGAAAGGCATTGAGTTATATGTACTACGTACTAGAGAAGCCATTCCAAACAAAAATTGTGCCCTACTCTGTGTCTTCGCGCATGCGCGGGAGTAGTAGTCGCGCATGCGCCAAGACTTTAATTTAATATAAAATAAGATATTAATATAAAATAAATATAAGAATTTAATATAATATATCTTAATTTAACCTAAACAAACATATTTCTAAATAAAATGTAATAATTATTATTTTATGGGATTCACAAATCTTCAATTTACGCAATATTTAGTTTGTATGGATTGTGCACTACAGTTCAGTTGAACATAGTCAATGTTCGGAATGGCTTCTCTAGTACGTAGTACATATAACTCAATGGAGAAAGGGATACATTAGGGAATAACTGTGATAAAAATAAGGTGCAGTGGTAAAATTGTATTTATCATAACAAAACTAACAACAAAAATAACTGTCATGAATAAAAAATTGTATTACTTCAAGTGTTAATAAAATAAAATATTAATACAATATAATATGTATAAATAATTATTTTCATTAAAAATAATTATTCTCGGCTACGAAAAATCATTTCAAATAATACCTGAATCATTTTCTTTAGGATATAATAAAGGTGAAATCTCAGATGTTACATATCATATGCGACTACTATAAGGCTCAATCGTGGTTTTTTTTTTTCTTTTATATTTGTATAGCTTAAAAATTCAATACACACACAGGCACTTTCCAGTTTCCTGTCTTTAACCCTTCCACTATTTAATGTTTACAAAGTAAACATTACGCCATTAGGTTGTTGTCAGCCGTGCAACTAAGTGTGACAATTATATCATTAAGACTGGTTAAAATTACTCTCTTGGTTACTAATTACGTATAATAAACGCAAGTATGGTACCTGTGGGTTAATGAGCGCCTTAGTCATGGCGGAGCGCATGAGGTCGCCCATGTTGTTGAACTCCATGAGCATTTGCACGTAGCCCTCGCACTCTTGTACAGCGATACGGTAGCTGTCCGACGTCGTTTGCGGCCCCCAACTGCAATTAAAGACATCCAACGGTTATCACAAATGATTACACGTTACCCATGCAATTGCGCCAAAACGCAACCGTAACCTGCAAAAAACTTCGAAACTTATCGCATAATAAGTCACACAAAATTTATTTTGATGCTTGTGTTTACACTACAGTTAACTGTTTCAATTTTTTCTGACCAATGTTAAGATTTTGCTTGTTGCGTTCAGACTGACCTGACTGAGGACTAACTAAAAACTTATAAATATAAATGATTAATTAATAATATTATTACATAATTTGAATATGACTCTGTCGAGCTTTACGGTTGCGCTGTTGCATGTGTTGTCTCGCAAGAAATGGATGCAAATAGTAACATTCAAATATACTGGCCATCCGGCAATGATTTGTGTGTTTATGGTGTAATAAAATTATATTTAGGTTAAAATTTTCGGCCAATGGTTATATTACAAACTGTTTATTTGCCCATTAAAAAGAAAACATAAATTAAATAATGGAAATCACCTGTTTTCTCTAAAATGCTGCAGCAAACGAAGTATGAGCCGAGGCATCATGGCTTCAGCCACACACATCAGCTCCGCTGGCGCGGCGCCCGTCCTCGGGCACTTGTTTCCATGGTTACTACAAAATCTGAAATCATAATATTTTGTTAAGGCGACAACTACAACAAACTATCAAGTAAGGTGAGGATGATTTGTTTTGAAGTCGTCGTGACAGCACGACATAGAGCTTTAAGGAGTAGAACTTGCGGAGAAACCAGTCTTTTGCCTTGTAGAATTTCTGCAGAATAAAACGGTTCGCTTTACATCCGCACATAACACAGATAGTCCGACGTAGAACCGACTGTCACTAACTAGATTAACCCAACGCACCAACAAGTAGAAGTGGCAATCGGCTGGCCATATAGCGCGAACAATCAAAAACCGATAGCAAAGCGAGGGCTTCGAGTATACTATACTTGAGAGACCATCTGGATGATTGGCGGTCCACCACTGTGCGAGGAACCAGAAATTTTCTTCCTCGGACAACTTCTTTTCTGGCTTTTTTGAAAGACCGGCAACGCACCTGCAATTCTTCTGGTGTTGCAGTTATTCATGGGCAGCAATAGCACAGATTAGTTAATAGTTTACCGAACAGATACATCACTGCCATACAAAAGCGAAAATACCTACGCTATAATAGCCTACAAAATCTTAATAATAATATCTACTGTTCGCAGCGAGAGGAAAATGTACCATAAATCCGCGCAAAAAGAGTCGAGATTGTGTTGACTGCCGTGCGACTCACGTGCAAGCGCGTCATCGCACAAATGCTCTAGGGTTGTACCTATGATGATTATTGTAATAAAACGAATCTTGCGAAATTACCATATTTTTTATTTGTCAATAAAATATGTTTGAGTTTTATAAATTGATTTTTACATTTTTTTCCTTCAAATTGAATTCTCGGTTATTAAATTTTATCGTTGAAAATGGTTGTCACTCAATTTATAAATTATAGCACTGTTATGCTTTGTTTCGATCTAATCTTATAGTTAAGAAAAAAAGACAATTTTTCATTTGTTTTTTGACTCTGACACCCATCCACTGCACAATAATTACGTGGTTTCGGCATTTCGACGAGTAAGCGCGGGAAACGTGTGCGGTGCAAGCGCTCAGGCGGGCGTGCGGCAGCCCAATGTCGGTTGTATCGTGGGCGATACGCAAAACGGTTGGCATATAACGCAGGATCTTGAGCGAGTGACGGGGGCCTGGCAATAGTAACTTACCATCAGGTGAGCTGCATGTTCGTTTCCCCCCTCTTTTCTATACTATATTATAATAAAGCGAAAGAGTTTCTTGTTTGTTTAAATACGCTAAACTTTGGAAGTACTAATCCGATTTCAAAATTACTTTTGTATATGATAGCCAGATTCATGAGTAATAGTATAGGCTATCTAGCATTAGGCTACACCACTCAGCTAGCCTTAATTATTTATTTTTGTTTACTGAACTGATTTATCCGCATACACTAGCGTAATGGTTAGTGATACATAAACACCAAAATATTGGTCTCTACTCCATCTAAAAAAAGTCCGCGATACTATATGCCTATACTGCCTACATGCCTGACCTCAAACCTATTTCATTCTGCATGCATTCAATTAACATCTTTCCATAAACGGTAAAATGGGTAAGTGATTTATCATTAACGTTTCGTTTAAACTTTACAGTTAGCATACATTCACTGCTAATCCACAAAAACAGTAGAAATAGTCTACTTTACTTTATAGTATATTATAATACTAATATTTTTTATTTAATATAGATTACAAGCTGTAATATTATATTTCACCCCCCAGGGGTTGAATTTTCCAAAATCCTTTCTTAGCGGGTGTCTGTCTAAGTCTACGTCGAGAAATGTGTTGTATGCTTTGTAAAATCTAGCGAATAGTTTTCGAGATCTTGTGATGAGTGAGTGAGTCTATTTCGCTATATTATTTCGCTTATACACCCTAGATATGTAATACGTATTGAAAGTCAATGTAATGTTTACCTGGTAGTTACAAGAAAAGCTTAAATATAATAATTACTAACAAATAGACTTATTAAGTACTAGCTATGGCCGCGGCGTAGCTCGCGTAAACAGGTTTTACTTAAAGAATTTGACGTTTACGGTAAGAGATTTATATCATTACTGAATGAATAAGTGGTAACAAAATAAATCGATATGCTCAAAGTTCTAAGTCGTTTATGATAGAGCTTCTGTGTAAACGACGTTAGAAGTAGACTTAGCCGAGGCGTACAGAAAAGGTTACGGGGACCACTAACGCGGGAAAAAGCAACATAAGAGTTGGCCATGTACAAAACAGTCAGTGCTGAGGTCCACTCCTGCAACGCGTAAAGTTTGACCTTGCGCTTTATTTACGATCATCGCATAACACACGCTGAGTGGGAAGTGGGAACTGAACACGCTTAAAATAGGGATGTTCGATGATCATCGATGTCAATGAACCCATAATCGATAATTTGAAACTTGCAAACAATGCGAACCCGCAAAATCAATATCAACTAAATCTTGCATCTGCTCTAAAGATTATAAATTTTGAATAATTCAGAATTCCTGAACGCATCGTTAACCTAAAAAATGTCATTATGGTGAGTCAAACTTAATTGTCAAGTGTCACCTGTAATGTCACAATGGTCACTGCTTTCGCTTTATTGTGTAGTCGTTGTCGGTAGTCGCACAATAACTATTCTACGTAAATTGATATTCAAGTTAATTGTTACTTTTCCCTTGCTGTGTATGTCATCATCGATGTTTCTGCAACATCGATCATCCCTATCTTAAAACTGAAAGGAATGTTATTTGGTATTAGAAGGATTCTGGATATAAAACAATATCACGACATTTTATTGCAATTTTGCTACTTTTAGTCGAGTTTTGTTGCATAACTTGGGCGTACGTAGTACGTACGCTTTTTTCGGGTTTTGTTTTTGATGATGTTCGTGATGTTAGCCTACTACACGGCTCTTTCAGCTTCATCGGACTCATGGACATAAATTTCTTCAATGTGTCTCAATACGATTCACCGGCGAAAAATCTTAACACCGCAATTCAGAAAAGGTTTTAATTTGTACAACGCCATATATTACGTTCTTTGTGAGAAAACATCTTTTTTTTAATTTAAGGAAAACATTTTTTTTTACTGTGTTTTAAGTATAAATATATCATAATAGAACGTTTTTTTACACACGAATATTTTATTACTATTTCTGAGATTTTATGGCGCCATTAAACAAATTCGAATCTACATTTCAAAATAATAATCAAAATTTTCGATAGAATTAACCAATTTTAATAAAACAAAGATGAAATGAACTCTATGATACGCTTTATGATTTTCTTAAGGATTTCATTGAAAAAAAAAGATGTTTACTCAAAACGTCATGCCTTCATAAGCCAACAGACAGACTGTCAGACAGTACAATTCTAAAAATTATAAAAATGTACTTATTTAATGATTTTCAGTCCCCATAATGATTTTAGTCACAAATGAATATACTATACAATGTACAGAAACAGACACAACATGTTATCACCATTTTTATTATATGTATAGATTTAAAGAGAGATGGCGCTGTTAACATCAATTCTAAAAATAAGAGATTACAGTGCCACCAACTTATCTGTTCAGGTGGACAAAATTGGAACTAATGCCGCCATTTTGTAAATGACATTTCGCTGTCAGTTATTATTTATTCTGAGCTATCAGGTGAATGTTTTTAAAAAGTGCAATTAAAATGCCTAAAGCTCTTAAAAGTGATGCGCGACAGATTATCCTAAAAGTTTTATCTTTTATGAAAGAAGAGAAACGTGCACAAGCCCCAACTATACCATTTGAAAAGCTGTATGAGCGCGTTGCTGCCGCGACTGGTTAGTATTGCCAGATATGGAAAATCAAAATCACCAAATAATGTACTTGTAAAACATAGTAAAAAAATTATCTCAATTTACTGTAATTCGTCTAAAGTACCTAGCTTTGTAGTTTGTGGTCTGTGAAGTAGCTTTAGTGACGGCATATACACGGGCTTACATTTATTTAATTTTACCTATACAATAATTATTTGTCGTTTCGTTACAGGTGTTTCTGAGCGATTTGTACACAAACTCGTAAATGAAGAGAAACACGCTGAAGAATCCAATTCTAAAATTTCTACCCCTGGCAAAAAAAGGCAAAGAAAAACCGGGAAGCAAGAAGTTGATAATTTTGACATTGGTGTTATAAGAAGAAAAATTCACGAATTTTATTCAGTGAAAAAAGAAATCCCTACCATACCCAAATTACTGAGTATTTTAAAGGAAGATATTGATTTCAAAGGAGAACGTGAAACTCTTCGAAAATTGCTTCACAAAATAGGATTTCGTTATAAGAAAACGAAATCAAATAGAAAAGTGTTGTGCGAACGTAACGACGTAGTTGCATGGAGAGCAACCTACCTACAAAAAATTAAAGAAAATGAGCGTGGTGAAAAAAGACCTGTTATTTATTTAGACGAAACTTACATTCACTCGTCTCACTCAACTGGGAAATGTTGGCAAGGTCCTGAAGAAGATGGTGATTTGGAACCTGTTTCGAAAGGTCATTATTTCGAAATCATAATCCATGCAGGTGGAGAAAAAGGTTTTGTGGAGAATGCCCTTCTCGTATTTAAATCAAATACAAAATATGGGGACTACCATGATGAAATGAATAGCATTAATTTCAAAAAATGGGTATATGAAAAATTACTACCTAATCTGCATGAACCTTCGCTCATTGTAATGGATAATGCGCCATACCATAGTATTTGCGTAAATAGGTGTCCTAATTCAAACCACAGTAAGGCTGATATGCAGAAGTGGCTTGAAAAAAACAATGTAAGTTTCAATGAACAAATGACAAAACCTCAGCTTTATGAATTAATAAAGAGAAATAAACCTGCTCCGGAATACGAAATTGATAACCTGATGAAAAGTCATGGCCATGCTATTCTTAGATTGCCGCCTTATCATTGCGACTTGAATGCAATTGAAATGATATGGAGCTCTATGAAAAGGAACATAGCAGACAAAAATGTTGGAAAATCTAATGTTCTAATGCCCCAATT